ACTTTTCAGCAGCGCTAAAACTGTTAAGAATTTGGCAGTTCTTAGCAATGGACTAAATGCCTTTTGCACAGGGGCGAATTGTCGTGGCTTGTGTCTAGATGTGTCCATCCCCGTCCCCCGTCCTCCCCCCGCCCCCGCTGCCCCATGCCTCACTCAGTCATAGGTGGGGCTTTTTCAGAGGTGGCTGGATATAGAGTGTGCAAGACTAAAATTGATTCATAATACAGTGCTAAAATCAAAGGTGCTGAGATGAAGTGTGTTCGTGCTACCCGAGCCCATCCTAATGGCAAGTTCATCAGTTCTTTCTCCCCTGCAAAGCCTATCTGCCCTGCCACCCTGCCTTCGAGCCAGCTGATTATGGACTAAAACCTCTCCAAACTTTAAGCTACATAAACTTTTCTCCCTTGAACTTTGGGTCTCAGATATTTTGTCTCAGCAATGAGGGGGAAAAAATAACTAAGACACCTACCTTATGTGGCAAGGAACTGTGAGTAAAATGGGATTTGTCCCTAAGAAAGCAAGCCAGGATGGGAGCAGGCACACCTCAGGTAGCACTTCATAGCTGCAGGTAATTGTATCTGTTACCGCAGGAGGCGCTGTTGAGAGCCCACCCCTGGAGGTGAATGAGTTAAAATTGGATGTGGCGGCCTCTCCAGCGTCAGGAGAGGTGGGGATGAGCTGGACCTTCATCTCCACATAGGCTTCATCCAAGTAGATGAGGATAAGTTAAAAGGGGAATTTTGCATGTGCCTCCCACAGGAAGTTCCCACCCGAGGGGCTGCTGGCCATTCTGACCTGAGACCTGGAATGGACCGCAGGAGCAGGACTGGGAGAACCCAACAAACAGCAAACGCTCCTCCTCTTCTTCTTTCTCAGGACCCACTGACTCCCTCCCTTAGGACCACAGAGTGTGCCAGGGTTTTGAGCCAGGACTGGCCATGGTGAGAAAGATGACCCTTCCTTAAGTAGATTTATGTCAGTACACTTCCATACATGGAAAGGTGCCCCCTAGGAAATCTGAGGATGTCAGCAGCAGGTCCAGAGTGGCTTGGCCAGTCTCACCCTGTATAGATATAACCCCGGCCTAGAGGGGAAGCCCACCCACAGTGTCAGTCCCCGGGACTGCAGACCCAGGCCGCCTGCCTTCAGAGACTCTGTTTGCCTGTGGTTCACCCAGCTACATCTGTACAGAGGGGCCCTCCAGCATATCAGGACATCATCTTTAAAGGCAATGGGCCAGGGAGCTGGCTCAGTAGAATAAGCGCTTCTCTGGTAAGCACAAGGGCCTGAGTTCAATCCCCGGTTCCAACAAAAAAATTAAAAACATAAAAATAAAATAAAGGCAAGGTACATCCTTTGCCACTTAGGCCTACAGGAGTTCTATCATTAGGGGGAAAAGACAGTGTGGGAAACTTTCCTGCCAGAGGAAGTCCAGATCAAGCCTGGCAGAGGCCTGCTGACCCCCAGGGGACCCCTTCTCTGGGAGTTTGTTCTCCGCTGTAAAGATGGAGTTAGATTTGTAGCAACACCAGGGAAGCAGGACACCAACAGACGGGACTCCAAGCATGGCTGCCTGCTGCAGGCCTGGTGACCGTTCATGTCCCCCCTGAGCCCCTCGGCCTCCTGAGGAGGGTAGTTGGGATGGCAGCTGGAGGAGGTGGAGTGTTCAGAGTGCACAGTGTACAGAAGGGCCAGTTTCCTCACCTGTGGATTAGAGAGAACAAAAGCCCTAATTCCTGGGACTGTGGTTCCCAAGCTCTATGCTAGGGCATGCGGGATACTGCAGGGCATTTTCATCATCAAGGGACGTGGCAAGCCGAGAAGCAGCCTGCACTGCCCAGCTCTCGGCCCAAGGTCACTCACAGTCTCAGCATCCCATGGCTCCACTTCCCTTCTCTTGATGCCATGTATTAGCAAAGCTGGGTGTTGGGCTCTTGGGAGTAGCCCGGGACAAATAACAAGGGTGGCAGCATCCACTCTGAATCCCGTGTGAGAAATTGTGCCATGGCCGACGGGCACACAGATCCCCATTAGTAAGGAATCGTGGCTATTTAGGGATGGAAAAGAACATTTTTTGCTTTAATTTATGCTAAGTATTTTTCCAAATGGTCACTAAGTTCCTAGGCTATAAATATTTGAGAACCACTTGGATCCAACTCCTTAATGAATTCCTGATTGTTGGGACTATCTTTGAGGTCTTGTTATACCATAAAAAAACAAGTATTGAGATATAGGGACCAAGATATGCAGGCACCTCTGAGGAGCTAGGATACGCCTGCTAATCAGGGCCTGGGAGAGGACTCCCCAAAGCACCTTCATTCCCCCTCCAGGCTAGGGTCATCCCCAGGGGGCACACTGAGGCCCCTCAGCCAAGCTCAAGCCCATCCCAAGCGAAGACCAGAAGTGTGGACGGGGCTGGTTCAACTCTGCACTGGCTACACCCTCCTCCACAGTGCCATTTTATTTGACTTGCAGCTTTTCCTGCAGACCTACTGTGTGCCAGCCCATGGAGGTAGCCCTTGATTCCTTTTCTTGATCTCCTGGAAGAATCTGCCCCAGGATGCTTGGGCATAGGAGAAACCACTACATAATGAGCCATCTGGTCCACCATACAGAGGCCTGTCTGCAAGGGGACTCTGGGCCCATGTCCCCTCAAAGGCCAGGGATGCAGGCTCAAGCTGGTAGAATGGCCAGTGAGTGGGGTGGGGTGAGTGGAGCAGGTGGGGCCTCCGCACTACTGGCTGTCTAATGTCCATGTACTCCATCCCTCCCCCCCAGTCTGGACACTTTAGAAATGAGCTGCCTTAGGGTTATAAAACAAAGCCATAAACACAGCCTGTGGTGCAGCAGGGTTAAGGGGGCTATCTGGAGAAAAGGTAGGAGCAGCCTGTGGGCCCTGTACCCCACAGGGAGCAGGCCCGTGTCCTAGAAGGGCTGCCCCCACATACCGGGAGCTCGGGAGCCAGAGCCTGAGCTTCAGCTCTGCTGTCCTCCGTCAGGACTAACATGGTGCCCAGCTGCCCATCAGGGAGGACTGTGGCCATCCCAGGTGGGCGCAGTGACCAGCTCCCGGAACTGTGATCAGTCACTGTATGTCTCAGTGTCCATTCTCCAGGTGGCCTTGCCCAAGTCACTGGTACCACTTGTGTAGTTTTTGATGTCTTCAGCTTTGAAATGAAAACTATAGTCCCAGTCTTTTGGGTCCCTTGATGAGAGAGGCCATAAACTGCAGAGTTGCCGCCAGCAGCAGGGTGCTGCAGAGTTTCTCTGCTGTGGGAGCACCCACGTTAAAGCACTCGGGTACAGGGTCCTGGGCCCCTCCTAAATGCTGGTATCTGTCTCTTGCTAACTGTGTGAGCTTGGGCAAGCGGCTTACTCTCTCTGAACCTCAGTTTCCCCATCTATAAAATGGGGACTGGCAGAACAGCTTACAAAGTTGGGAAACATAAATGGCTGAAGGACCAAAGCCACAGCCCCTGGTGCTGAGCGATCACTCATTCCTCTCTTGCAGCACCGTGTGCCCACTGTGCGCTGAGTACCCTCCTAGGCATCCTCAGAGCAGCACGGGGTTCAGGCCGCCTGTCTCGGTCCCACAGAACATGCAGAAGAGCTGCTTCTCACCCCATCTGGCTGGCTTTCCTGTCCCTCCCTCTCTTGGTGGGTCTGTCTGTCCATCCGTGTCTCACATGCGCTGCCCAGGGTCTGTAGCCAGTGACAATCATGCATCATCTTCGAAGCCACCCAGTCCTGGCACGGTCTTGTGGCCCACAAAAAGAAACCACAGACGGCCACGTTGCCTTCTTTCTGCTCTTGGAAACCCGGGTATCCTTGGCCCTTGAGCCTGGAGGGGGCGCGCAGCCTCCTGGCTGGAGAACAAATGGGCGGTCCCTTGTAGGTCTCCTGGGGCAGCAGTACCTGACTGCTAAGACCAGAAGACCCGCCCACTCCGCAGCTCTACTCTGTTTCCTCTGGAGCGGTGGGCGGAGAACTACGAGCCCCCATGGCTCGACCCCAGCCCCCTGTTTTCTGTATCTGGCATCGAAAGCCAGTTTTCTGAGCAGCGAGTCGCAAGCCAATGGGCAGCCTGGCCTGGCTTCCTCCCACTCGGCGCCAGCGGGGGGCTGCCCCCTCCCTTCCTGTTTGCCTCACCTCCCAAGGTGCCACCCTCTTGGTCCAGAGATGAAGGCGTCCTCGCGTGCCCCTCTGGGGGAGGAGACTGCCACAGTGAAGTGTCCACATCCCCAGTATGAAGACAGCGGTGGGAAGAGACAATGGGCTGGCTGCGTCGTCTGCACAAAGCCCCTAATCCTGCCTGCCCCCATGGGTGCTTTGGCCTCCTCCAGGGGGAGACCAGTCAGAGGGCCCAGGCCACCACCCCCAACCCACTCCCCGCCCAGGGCCCTGGCTGTCGCTCCTGCGTCGTCGGCCCGGCTGGCTGGGCTGCAAAGGGCAGTGGTGGCTTCAGGGCAGAGCTGGCCTGGTTTGAGTGCCAGCCTCAGCCCTGTTTCCAGCCTGTCACACACTGTGGCATCAGCACAGGGAAATGGGAGTGAGGCGGGGCAGGCAGGAGCTGGGGACGCTGGAGGAGGCGGAGGGAGGGCCCGTCCTGAGACCCGGCCGCCCTTGCTGGCCTCCGTGGCTTCTCCTGCTGTAAGGAGAGGGATCACACAGCGTGGCGGGGCGTGGTACATGTTGGTAACCTCGCTGCAAGGGCAAGACCAGTCTCGGCCACAGAACGAGTTCACGTCCAACCTGGACTGTATAGTAGGACTCTGTCTCAAAAATTAAATAAAACAGAGTCACATCACCAGGACAGGTTCTAAAGCTCAGTCTGATAAAAGCAGGACAAGAGGGGGAAACTGAGGACCCCAGAGTACAGGTCTAGCCTGGGTGGCCACAGAGTGGGGCCTCGGCAGGTCTGTCTCCGCAGTGGGCGCTGTGGTGGGGGAGGGCTGCCTGGGGCCTCCTCAGCACGTCTCATGGGTGCTCTCCCCCCACAGGTGCTGATGCAGCCAGCGAGGTGCTCCCCGACTCCTTCCCCTCGGCACCCGCAGAGCCGCTGCCGCACTTCCTGCAGGAGCCACAGGACGCCTACATCGTGAAGAACCGGCCCGTGGAGCTGCACTGCCGTGCCTCCCCCGCCACGCAGATCTATTTCAAGTGCAACGGCGAGTGGGTGGGCCAGAGCGACCACGTCACGCACGAGGGCCGGGACGAGGCCACCGGTGAGTCTTCCCCTACTGGGCACCCTGGCTCTGCTCTGGGGTCACCCTGGATGCAAATTTCCCACGGCATGTGGGGTTCCCGCCTGGCCTTTGGTGACCACAGCTGTTGCCTTCAACAGTTCTTGAGTCCCTCTCTGAGCGCTGCTGCCTTTGCTGGTTTCCTCCTGTCCTTCTGGTTGGGTCAAGGAGAAGCTGGTTCTTCACCCTCCCATGGCTGCTAATGCCCAGTTTAGCATTAAAGGAGCAGGCTTCTCCCCCACGCCCCATGCCCACACCGATGCCACCAAACCAGTGTCATTGCCGTCCTTACTTTTATAGGCCATTTCTGTTTGTGGGGAGTGGTACTGTTCTCCATTCCCAGCCATACTTTTCCTCTAGCCAGGTGCATTGGTGTATGACTCTACTCCTAGCACTTGGGGAGGCTGAGGCAGGAGAATCATAAGTTCAAGCCCAGCCTGGGCAACTTAGTGACTGAACAAAACCTTGTCTGAAAGTATAAATAAAACACGCTGGGGATATAGCTCAGTGCAAAGGTTCTGAGTTCAAGTCCCTGCACTACAGAAAGAAGGAAAGGGGAGATGGAGGGCAGGGGAGAGTTTTTTTAGGTACCCCCAAAACAAAGGTTAATATAGATTGAGAATCATTTAGTGATACTCTTGGGACAAGATGTATTTTCAGTTTCAGAGATTTTTTTTTTTTAATTTATATATGTGGTACAGGGTCTCACTCTGCAGTGCAGAGTCCGGGCCAGCACTTCATGCAGTGCAGGATTGAACCCAGTCTTTGCGCTTGGGGGTGGGGGACACTTAGACCACAGAGCTATTTCTGTGGCCTCAGAGGTTTTTTGTTTTGTTTGTTTGTTTTTTAAGCTCAGGGTTTGTATAGACTTTACAGTTGAGTACCCCTAATCCGAAAACTTAAAATTCAAGTTTCTCCAAAGCTTTCTGAGAATCATGTCAGCACTCAGACAGTTTCGATTTTCTGAGTGTTTCGGGGTGCCTGACCCCATGGTATTAAGTAGGTCGTCATTCAGGCTGTGCTGGGGCACAGCCTGATCTCCAGGTGGGGCCCCTGGGCACAGCAGGAGGGGCACAGCCCTCCCAGGGTGTGCCCAGCCCCGAAGCCCGGCCCTCTCCTTTCTCCTCCTTTTCAGCTCTTATTTTCCTTTCACTTGCCGCCCCTTCTCGTTGGCCTCTGTGCATCTGTCTGTCCATGTTTGACTTAAACGGCGTGCTAGCACACGTGTAATCCCAGCAGAAGACCGTGGAAAACTCAGAGGCCAGCCTGGGATACATAGTGAGACCCTGTCTCAAAAACCAGCAAAACGTCTATCTTCTCTCCTCCCTCCCTCCCTCTCCCTTATGCTTTCTTTCTTTCTCTCTCCCCCCTCTCTTCCACCCTCCCCTCCTTCTTTCTCTGTCTGTCTCTATTTCATTCTCTTTCTCTCTCCTTCAATTTCTCTTGCCACAAAAAGTCCAAATTTTAGATCCATTCAGACTGTGGAAGCCACACCCCAGAATATACTTAAAGCTACTGACTGTATACTTAAAAATGGCTACAGTGGCAAGTTGTATACATTTTGCCATGACTTTTAAATAATTTTTTTTTTGATGGTACCAGGGATTGAACTCAGGACCTTGTGCTTGCCAGGCAAGTACTTATTCTACTGAGCCATCTCCCCAGCCCCTAAATAATTTTAAAAATAGATTTGAAATCCCATTGTTATCCAGCATCTAAAGAAGGAAGCCAAGCTCCCCACCCAGATGCTGCTGCTGCCTGGCTGTGGCTGTGAGGAGGTCACTGAGCCTCCCTGAGCTGAAGGTCCCAGAGAGGATGAAGCGGCAGAGTCTGTGCCGAGGGGGCCAGCGGGCACTTGATAAGCAAGCGCCCATTCACGTGCTCCTCTCTGGGCATCCTGCGGTCTCTTTCTCTGTCTTTCTCTCTCAGCCAGCGCTTGCTCATCCCAAGTCCCCTAGATTGGATGTCAGCTCTGGGGTTCAGGCAAAGCAAAGGGACCATGGGCCTCCCACTCCACCATGCTTGGTGGCTGTAACACAGGCCTCTGCTTGCTCATGGCAGTTCAGTTCCTATTTCCCACCACAGACACTGCGCTTGCCCCATGTAGAGATGGCAGTGGGGCCCTGTGTGCTGAACAATGGCCCATGCCAGACTCTGCAGCTGTGGGCTGTACCACCCTGATGCTTAGCCCTGAAAGCAGAGGACAACAGTGTCAGGACAGGAGGGACAGCCCCCCAGCTCACCATGCTTGGGAGAGCATCCCAGTGCTGGGTCCTGGAGCCTGGTCTTCTCCTTGCCTTTCCTATTGGTGGCTGTGGGGAAGGCGTCCAGCTCCCAGGCCCAGGGCTTCCCACTGTCCCACTCTGAAGTGCCACTGCTCTCTCTCAGGTGAAAACCCATGAGAGACCCTCCCAGGGGCACAGCCCCTCTGGGCTGTCCCTTCCCTTTGGTGCCAGACGGAGGATCTGAACCTAGCACCTTCACACTGAACTACATCTGTGGCCCTATTTTATTCTGAGACTGGGTCTCACTAAGTCACTGAGTAGCCCAGACTGGACTCAGACTTGTAGTCCTCCTGCCTCTGCTGCCCAAAGCGCTGGGGTCTCAGGTGTGCACCACCGCCCCAGCTCAAATTCGACTTTCAAAGTCACCCCCAGCAATCTGCTTCCTGTTGTTGGGCCCCACCCACTCAGTGAGGAACTCCCCATGGGTTAATCCACTGATGGAGGATTGCTGTAGGTTCAGGGCCAGCCTGAACTGTAATGTAACATGCTGTCTCAAAGGAACAGCAGATAATAAAACAAAAACGGTAGTAGTGGGGGCCGTCACAGGCACAGTAACCTCGAGTGGGCTGGCCACATCCTGAGAGCTGGAAGGAGTGGCACAGGAGGAGCTTCCTTCCAGAGGAAAGGCTATGCCAGATGCTGAGCGTGGCTGGGAGTCCAGTGGGCACAAGAGGGATGGGAGGAGCTCTGGGCAGGGACTGATGATCCAGGCAGGGCCCTGTGACTGCATGAGCTGCACAGAGGGGACCCCAGAAGATGCCAGGGATCTGCAGGGTGACTGTGGGTGGCGCTGCAGGCCTGGAAGCCCTGGGTCTGGTCTGAATAAAAAGGATATGCAGACATAACCAGGGGAATAGCTGGTGTGGTGGGTGTGTTCTGCAGAGCGCACAGTAGCTGCCAGGTGGCAAATGGCTGGGGGCGGGGTTACGCAAGGGCTGGTGCTGGCCAGTGCTGTGCTCAGGTGGAGGGCAGGGCTCTCTGGGCTGCAGTGGGAGCAGAGATGAGGGGAGGGGTGGAGGGAGGCCCATCCCCCCCCTGACAGCGCTGCCTCCCCCAGGCCTGCGGGTGCGAGATGTGCAGATCCAGGTGTCCCGGCAGCAGGTGGAGGAGCTCTTCGGGCTGGAGGACTACTGGTGCCAGTGTGTGGCCTGGAGCTCTGCGGGCACCACCAAGAGTCGCCGGGCCTACGTCCGCATCGCCTGTAGGTCTCCCTGACACTTGCCTTCCCTTGTATATATAGGCTTGAGAGGGAATTACACACTGCAGAGCCTTCCACATTCCTGGCTAAAGATTCCCACCTCCCACACTGGGCACACCAGTACAACATAGATGGGTTCCTGTATCAGGTTTCTAAAGGCCATTTTCGCCTGTATGAGGAAGCTTGTAGCCTCCTCACACACTGGGCTGCTGTGTGTCAAGAGTCCCAGAATCAGAGGGACCTCTGTTATAGCTACCAAACAGAACCTGCCCAGGTGAAAGCCAGGTGTCCCAGAACAGCTCCTTGGTGTGCAGTGCCCCCTTATGGCCATGGTGGGCACTGCAGGCCTTCACTCTGTCTCTACCTCATTGTCCCTCCTGATGCTGCGTCTGTTCCCAGACCTCCGCAAGAACTTTGACCAGGAGCCGCTGGGCAAGGAAGTGCCCCTAGACCATGAGCTCCTCCTGCAGTGCCGCCCACCAGAGGGCGTGCCAGTGGCTGAGGTGAGCAGGATGCAAGATCTAGCAGGCCTGGTACTCACCACCAGCCATGGTGCCACAGCCTCCCAGGACCTCCCTAAGTGCAGAGTGGGAGTGTGGGACTTGGGACTGAGAAGTGTTGGCCACCTCCACAGGCTCAGCACAGGCCAGATCCCAGGAGGGCCCAGGTTCAGATACACTGCCACCTACCCCTGCCCAGAACCCAAGGCCCAACAAGGATGCTCAGGGGTCTCGTGTGCGTGTCTGAGTACACCCGCCCTACAGGTTTGCAGCTCCTTCCCCTGGCCACATCACCATAGGTCCCTCAGCATAGGTGCCCCCTGCCTGTCCCCTCTCCCATCTTTCCTCCTGTGGCCAGCATTTGCCCCTTTCCAACTCATGTATTGGAGCCTGGGGTAGGGGACATGTCAGCTCATCCCTGGGGCCCAGGGCTGGGGAGAACAGGTTTCTCACATGGAATAGGCCTCCTGTAACCCCCAAACTCCACCCTACAGCTCAGCCTTTCCTCAGCCTGGGGGCCCCTCTGGAAACAGGGTGCAGATGAAAGCCTGCTCTGGTCAGGGTACCATGTGGGATAGATGGGCCTGGGCACACTAGTTCTCCTGGCAGGGGTGATGATGTTGCCCCTGAATAACTGGGAAACAAGGCTGGTGTGGTGGGAGGGCGAGCTGGGATTGGACCCCAGGAGCCATGTTCCTAATCCCCAGCCTGAGTTTGACAGTGGGGGGCAGGGACCGGCAGCTCCTGCATGCTTGGCACTCAACTGAGCCAACCATCCTCTCGCAGCATGCTATTGGGTCCCATTGTATAGTTGGTACAGTGATGGCCTCTGGTGAGGGTCCCCACGGCTGTCCCACTAGTAGACTATGCTCAGATCCTGCTGGGCGACCGAGTCCTCACTGGCCCAACCCACTCCCACAGGTGGAGTGGCTCAAGAATGAGGACATCATCGACCCCACTCAGGACACCAACTTCCTTCTTACCATCGATCACAACCTCATCATCCGCCAAGCCCGCCTGTCAGACACGGCCAACTATACCTGCGTGGCCAAGAACATCGTGGCCAAGCGCCGGAGCACCACGGCCACCGTCATTGTCTATGGTGCAGAACTGGGGTGGGAGAGGCGGGTTGGCCTGGGGCTCCATATCTCCCCCACCCCACCCTGCTGTGGGGGTCTCAGCCCAACAGGACGAGAAGTGAGTTGACTGAGGTCATGCAGCACAATGTAGCCCATGCAGGCACCCCAGGTCTCCAGCCAGGGCCTTGGCTGTCTCTGAGGGAAAAGGGCAGTGCTCTGAGGCCAGGCCCCGCTCGCTACACAGGGCGGGGGCTGCTGTCTGCCCCAGTGGAGAGAAGGGCAGAGCCACAGCCTCAGAGACTACACAGTGCTATGAAAAGGCCCAAGGGCCATCCTCTCGCATCCTCTAAGTGCCTGCCTGTCAAGCACAAGGTCCTGAGTTTGACCCCCAGTACCAGGGGAAAAAGAGAGAGAGAGAGAGAGAGAGAGATTTGAGGGGCTGGGGAGATAGCTTGGTAGAATAAGCGCTTGCCTAGGAAGCACAAGGTCCTGAGTTCAATCCCTGGTACTGAAAAAAAAAAAAAAAAAAAAAAAAAAAAAGGCCCAGCCTGAGTCCCAGGTCCCCATTTGGTCTGGAAAACCCTGATAAATGCTGACCCTCTCTGGAACTTCATCGCTGTAGGAGTTCAGAGACAAGACAGTGACCTCTGGGACCCTCCTGTGCTGACAGTGACAGCACAAGGCGGCATGCGGGCATCTCGATGCCTGTGGCCAGCCCAGGTCTCACCAGCAAGTGGGAGCTCAGCAAAGGGCCATCAGGTGGGGTTGAGTTGGGTCCCGCTGAGAGGGTCCCAGGGCCAGGCCAGCCTGCTGACAGCTACTGTTCCTCCAGTGAATGGCGGCTGGTCCAGCTGGACAGAGTGGTCACCCTGTTCTAACCGCTGTGGCCGTGGCTGGCAGAAGCGTACGCGGACCTGCACCAATCCCGCCCCCCTCAATGGAGGCGCCTTCTGCGAGGGCCAGGCCTTCCAAAAGACCCCATGCACCACCGTGTGTCCAGGTGAGGGCCGCTGGCCAGGCACCACTCAGCCCACCCAGACCTGCCCCAAGCCATCCTACCAGCACCTGTCTGCCCCTGCACGGGCAGGGAAGGGATTCACCCCAGGGCCCACAGCTGGCAGCTCAGGCTGGCCTAGATGCTCTGGCCTCTGGCCCCTTGCTCTGCTCGAGCTGCTGGGAACATGGAGCAGAGGTTCTGAGCTGCAGGCAGTGGTGGACTCCTCCCCTACCCCCTCCACCTGGGTTTCTCTGGCCCAGGGTCCAGACAGTGTCATACATGACTCTTGGCCGTGAACCCTACCCCGGTCTTCCTCCTCTTTTCTATGAGTTCCCATCTCTGTGCATTCCTGACTGTGCTCCCTCCTTTGGGATATGCTGTGTATTGGTGTGGCGCTTTTCATGCAGGGCTTGGATCTTTACCCTTATGACTGTGTACTGGGCCGTGTCTGTACAGTGACCCATGTGTCCCTTTGTCCATCTGATGCTGGCCAGCACAGGACTGTGTGGGCACAGGTGGTTTCTCAGTGTGGCAAGCACAAATGTCAGCTTCCCCAGGGTGCCTGCTGTCTAACTGTGCTCCGTGCCCACAGTGGATGGAGCGTGGACGGAGTGGAGCAAGTGGTCAGCCTGCAGCACCGAGTGTACCCACTGGCGCAGCCGCGAGTGCATGGCGCCCCCGCCCCAGAACGGAGGCCGTGACTGCAGTGGGCCATTGCTGGAATCCAAGAACTGCACCGGCGGGCTGTGCATGCAGAGTGAGTCCCCAGCAGTGTGGGGCTCTGGGTAGGCAGCATCTGGGTCCAGCTGCAGGGCTCCCTGCCACCATGACAGCCCCAGGCCTCTGTGCCTGGCCTGCTGCGGGGCTGCCCTCAGGACCCCACCTGCCCATTCCTGCCATCTCATCTCCATCATGTCCCCATCGCCTTCTCTGCCATCATTTGCCTACCACCTGTGTCATTGTCTTTCCCTTTATTTCCCTTAACAGATAAGAGAACTCTAAGCGACCCCAAAAGCCACCGTAAGTCCCCTTTCATCACTGTCTTTCCTTTGGGCTCCCTGGTTCTCCTTGGCTGGCTTTTCTTGGGTGTGAGGAGCAGAGCAGGAAGAACTGATGGTGTGCCAACACCAGGTGGCACTAAGGATCTCTTCCCTCCACCGTGGACAGATAGAAAGGGCTGAGGACCCTCTCGAGAACTTTCTGTTACAGAATGGGAAACTGAGTCTCAGTTGTTGTTTTTTTTTTTTTTTTTTTTGCGCGGGGGGGTGTGTTGGCAGAACCGGGTATTGAACTCAGGCCCTTGCTCTTGCCAGGGAAGCGCTTATTCCACTCAGCCATCTCCCTGGCCCGAAACTGAATCCCAGAACGGACTCATCCAACAGCCCAGCCAGGAAGTGACAGAGCCAGGCTTTGGGCCTAGATATTCTTGTGGCCAAGGCTGGTGCTTTACCCTATGCCTTGGCCTTCCTCTCTAGCCCAGGGCCAGGGTAGCAGCACATGTACACCCCCACCCCGTGCCCCACACCACACCTCAGTGGCTCAGCTCTGCCTCCTGAGCCATCTGTAGGCCGCTGCCCTTCGTCAGCTCCCAAGGGGGGCCTTGTCCTCAGCCCCAAAGGGCTGCTGCCATTGCAGTAATACCAGAGCAATAAAGCCTCTTCGGCAGATTGGCCTGTGGTAATTAAACCACAATTTCCAAATAATTCTGGAATCGTAAAATCAGCAGTGAGGCCCTCAGCCCAGCTCACTGGGGGACCAGGCTGGTGGCTGATTAGAGAGCATTAATTACCAAGCAAGTGGCCCCCAGTGTGAGCAGGGACATTAAGATGCAGAGCAAAGCTGGAAGGGCCATTGCCCTGCAAGGCCAGGAGCCTAGAGAGAGGTGGGAGCCCAGGCCTGAGGGGGCTCCTCTGAGGGGAGCCCTAGAATGAGGGGAATGGGCAGGTTCAAGAGATGCCCAGACATTCAGAGTAGACAGCTGTGGCCTGTGTGCTGGAGGGCTCAGGCTGACCCCAGGGCTTGGAGGACACAGGCAGGGAAAGCAGGCCTGTCTTCTGAGAGCTCCTAAGGGCTGGAAGCGCCCATCTTGGTAGCCACCATCTTGGCTCTGCCTGAGCCTACCAGTGTGCTAGCTGCCAGCCATATGTAGCTACTTAAACTCATGTTTACCTTAATTCAAGTTAAATCAATTTTAAAATCCAGCTCTTCAGTTGTACCAGCCACTTGAATCTGGAGGCTGCACATGGGATTGTACAGATACAACAAACAGTTCGGCCGTCAGAAAGTTCCTTTCTTTGGCCTTGCTACCGCCTGGTTGGCCACAAGTAATTATGTTGAGCTACAGCCTGCTGTGGGGGAGGGAAGCCCAGCCGGCAGGTGCCAGCCCTGTCCTTCTCCCTCGCTCGCTGTCACTGCCTTGCCATCCCATTTCTGCATCTCGCTCCACCCCATCCCCATCTCCACAGGATGGGAAGAGCTTGGGTGGTTACAAAGATTTATGGGAGCTAGAGCCCTTGGTCCCGTAAAAGTGGCTGCAGGCAGGGCATGAAATCCTATAGTTTCAATCTCAGCTGCAGTAAGATAGATTGTACAGCCCCCAGTGTCTGAGTTCATTCATAGTGTGGACATGTTTGATCTTTTGCCTCACTACTACCCTGGGAGGGTTGGTGGGCAGCACAGTGATATTTTGAGACCGTTTTTCTAATGAGGGACTGACTCCGCAAGGTCCGGGCTTGCCTGAGGTCACCACCCTGTCGCTGCAGGGCTCCGACCCCAGGGTAGTGCCAGTCTGCCCCAAGCCCTGGCCCTCCCCAGGACCTCAGCCTTCACTGGCTGTCTCGGCCCTCTGGCTCATGTGTCTTCCTTTCCCTGCAGTCCTGGAAGCCTCAGGTGACGTGGCGCTGTATGCAGGCCTCGTGGTGGCCATCTTCGTGGTCGTGGCTATCCTCATGGCAGTGGGCGTGGTGGTGTATCGCCGCAACTGTCGTGACTTTGACACCGACATCACCGACTCCTCTGCTGCCCTCACTGGCGGCTTCCACCCAGTCAACTTTAAGACCACGAGGCCCGGTAAGGCCCTGAGGATGCCTGAAGCAGCAGGTTGGTCGGGACCCCTGGCGGGCGCAGCTGGGACTTCTCACTCTTTCCCAGAGTTTGTTCCCAGCTTGCAGTAGCAGGTGGCAGTGGAACCTTCACACCTAGACATTGGAGTGGGACAGGAGGGTCCCACAGGAGCAAAGGGACTGGCCAGCATGGCTGGGTAGAGCGTGACTGGCACTCCTCCTACAGGCAACCCGCAGCTGCTGCACCCCTCCGTGCCTCCCGACCTGACGGCCAGCGCTGGCGTCTACCGAGGGCCTGTGTATGCCCTGCAGGACTCGGCTGACAAGATTCCTATGACCAACTCTCCCTTGCTGGACCCCCTGCCTGGCCTCAAGATCAAGGTCTACAGCTCCAGCACCACCGATCCCAGGCCAGGCTTGCCCGATGGAGCCGACCTCCTGGGTGTCCTGCCACCTGGCACTTACCCTGGCGATCTCTCCCGGGACAGCCACTTCCTACATCTGCGCAGAGCCAGCCTTGGGTCCCAGCAGCTCCTGGGCCTGCCCCGAGAGCCTGGCAGCAGTGTCAGTGGCACCTTTGGTTGCCTGGGTGGGAGACTGAGCATCCCTGGCACAGGTACGCCTCTTGCCTCTCCCCCTAGCCCAGCACATCCTTGATAGGCCGACACCACCCCAGCAGAAGCAGGACTGCCCATCCCGTTGCGCCGATGGGCAGAGCAACAAGGGACCATAAGATAGAGCAGGCTGGTTAAAGACCTGCATGTGTCTTCTGGAACAAGGGAACTATGGGTCAGCCACATTCCAGACCTCATCCTATCTGTTCCTTAGGCAAGAGTAGCCCTACATAATCTGTCCTACATTCTTACACAGCACTGTTCTAGGTTCTAGGGGCAAGAAGGGCAGGGCCGCCCTTCTCAGTTTACAAGCCCAGCACTTGACAGTGTTCCGGAGTCTTGCCCTGAGCTGGGCATGCGGCTGGGACTGAGACCCTCTCTCTCCCCTCCTGGCTGGAGACCACCCAGGACTCAGATGTCATCTGTCCCTGCCCCGAGCCATGCCAGTTCCCATCCCTGTTGCCCTAAGCACCAGCCCCACACTTCTTTCAGCCCTCACAGGCTGACCGCCCTTTCCCCCCAGGGGTCAGCCTACTGGTGCCGAATGGAGCCATTCCCCAGGGCAAGTTCTATGAGATGTACCTGCTCATCAATAAAGCCGAAAGCACCCTGTGAGTAAAGACCCCCTTCCCTGGCCCAGCTTGGCCTCCTTTGTGCCCCCCTATAATGCCTGTTAGGGTTCCTCTAGGACAGCCTTGGTCTCACCATGTCCACATTTAAAGCATGCAAAACCTATACCCTAAGTCATACAGCTGGGTGGCAGTCGACAAACAGGCTACAAGCAGCACAAGGAGCTGATACCCCCACTATGTAAAAAGCTTTTATAAACTTAAAAAAGTTGAACACCTCAGTACAAAAATAGACACGAGGGGCCAGGGAGATTGCTCAGTGGAATAAGTGCTTCCCCGGCAAGCACAAGGGTCTGAGTTCAATCCCCGTTCTACCAAAAAAAAAAAAAAAAAAAAAAATAGACACAAGATGTGCACAAGTGATTCGTGCACTTTCTCTTACACAAGCACACACACAGTGACCAAAAATTTCTTAGGAAACATTCCACCTAATTTGCAGTCAAAGAAAGCAGCCAGGAGATATTGGGAGGTTTTTATTTTGTTTGCTTAAGGATTTGCAAGGATTAGTTTTCCGAATGATTCCCTCTTGCTGCCAAAAGCCTGGGCACCTGGCCCTTCCTGGTATGCTGGGGTTGGTACCAGCTCTCTGGAGGGCAGTCTAGCAGTGCCTCTGGACTGACACAAAAGTGCAGGACTTTTATAGCTGAACCCAGAGATTCGGCTGTGAGAATATTATGCCGTCAAAGCAAAAGTCTGGGGACAATGACAAGGTTTATCCACTTCTTCTGCCCCGACACCATTCCTGTCGACCTCTGTTCTCACACAGGCCATAGGCAGAGCTGGGGCCAGCTGGAATATGTGCTCTCACTGAGTTCTCTGGGTCTCCCCTCACTGCCCCCCACCCTGTGCCTTGCCTCCAGCCCACTTTCAGAAGGGACCCAGACAGTGCTGAGCCCCTCGGTGACCTGCGGGCCCACAGGCCTGCTGCTGTGCCGCCCGGTCATCCTCACTGTGCCCCACTGTGCCGAAGTCAGTGCCGGTGACTGGATCTTCCAGCTCAAGACCCAGGCCCACCAGGGCCACTGGGAGGTGAGGAGCAGAGCCGGGAGGTGAGGTGCAGCCCCTGCTCCTCCTGGCACAGCCTGGGAGGCTGACTGTCTCCCCTGCCCCGCAGGAGGTGGTGACGCTGGACGAGGAGACTCTGAACACACCCTGCTACTGCCAGCTGGAAGCCAGGTCCTGCCATATTCTATTGGACCAACTGGGCACCTACGTGTTCACGGGCGAGTCCTACTCCCACTCAGCTGTCAAGCGGCTCCAGCTGGCCATCTTCGCACCTGCGCTCTGTACCTCGCTGGAGTACAGCCTCAGGGTCTATTGCCTGGAGGACACACCTCTGGCACTGAAGGTGGGTGCCCCACCTGGCACGCTACAGCTGTACCACCCCCAGCCAGTCAGCTGTAGGGTCCCTTCTGGCCTTCCCTCCCCTTCCCTGGTGCCTGGGAGCCCAAGGGCTTCCTCCATCCCCTCCATATGGAAATGGCATGGAACCCTTAGGACAGAGGCTGTGGTTCCTGCCACACCAGGCTTCAGGCCTGAGGTAGAAACAGAGAGGGATAGCTGTTGGGGCCACTCCTGAGAGTCTTCAGAGGGCTCAGGAAGCACCGGAGGATGGCCTGAGGCGGCTGGCCATGGCCATGAGCCCTAGGAGGCAAGTAGGGGCTCAAGGCAGTGGGGAGGGAAGGGCATTTCGGGTAGACAGAGCAGCTGCTGCCAAGACGGGGTGCGCAAAGGCCCAGGACTCATCTTTCCGGGAGCCTTGGAACTGGTCCAGTGGCAAAAGGTAGACCCAGAAGATACCAGTTGACAGGTGCTTTATAGAGGGCCTCTGTGGCTGCACTGGGGCAGGTGGACGAGAGGCAGGGGCCAGCTGGGAGGCGGGCTGGGCCCTGGGCAGCAGGCAGGGACTGTGGCCAGGGGAGGGGCCTGAACTGTATTTAGTGGGTAGAATGGACAGACTAGGGCTGGTGGGATGTGTCGGGGCTCACAGCCAGGCTATGGTGGATAAACAAGAATGGAGGGGAATGCCCCTAAGTGAGGGAGAGACCGTGGTGGGCATGGAGTCTCTGGGGCAGGAAAGGAGAGAAGGGGAGGGGAATGGTGAGATGGCCCTGTGCATGTACCACACACCAGCCACACCTACATGAGGGCTTTTAGTGCAGAGGTCCTGCCTCCTCCCACCCTAGCCTCAGTCCCTCTTGGTCCTCATCTCCCAGTTCCACATGACTTCATGGTGTAGAAGGGTCCTGGAGGAGAAGGAATGTCTCCTGCTGAGGTTCCTTGGTCTGAAATTGCAGGAGCCCATCTTTCTGTTCCTCCATCCACACTTATCTGTCCATTATCTACCCAGGCATTTCTCTTTCCTTTCAAATATCCTTCTATTCATAGAGCCATCACTCCTTTGTATGTCCTTGTGCCTGTGCTTCTATCTGTGTGGTTATCCACTCACCTGTCCATTCACACACCCCAAACGTTCATCTAGAAAGCCATTCATGTGATCCACAGTCTTTGGGGTTCGTTCATCTGCTTTTCTGCTCACCCGCTAACCTGTCCACACATCCATTCATCTAAAGTGCCTGCTAAAAGGGTCAGGTCGATTCTGTGTTCAGGTGGCCTCTTTCCCCTCACCCCAACTTCAGCAGAAAGGGGCGCTCGGCCAAGTGTGACAGGCTCTCCTCCCTGCTGCCGGTCCACAGGAGGTGCTGGAGCTGGAGCGGATGCTGGGTGGCTACCTGGTGGAGGAGCCCAAGCCCCTGCTGTTCAAGGACAGCTACCACAACCTGCGCCTGTCCCTGCATGACATCCCCCACGCTCACTGGCGGAGCAAGTTGCTGGCCAAGTACCAGGTAAGGGCTGAGCCAGGGAGCAGAGGGACCTCTGCCACCATCGGGCCAGGTCCCTGCCTCTGCTGAGCTGAGTCCCTGTTGCTGTGTTGCCGTCACTGTCTCCCTCTGGTGCCCATCCCCCAGCCATCCTCAGACACATCCCCGAGTTCTACCAGAGCCACATTCACTGCTGCCCCTGTCACACTCCTTGTCTCCTGTGCCTATGGGCCTCAAAGACCTCTCCGCATGAGTGTGCATGCCTGCCTGACTAGCTGTGCTCATCTCTGGTGCCCACATCCTGTGCCACCCTGCCATGTGTGACATCATGAAGTCCCCAAGGCATCCAGCCCAGTCACACATACAGCAGACACACTTGATCTTCAGTGCCTTCCCCTCTTCCCACCTCGAACCAAGGGCCTGGCCTACCCGCAAGGCCCCTGCCTGCCCCAGGACTGGCCTCACCTGCAGCCCTGACTGCCCTCCCACAGGAAATCCCTTTCTGTCACATTTGGAGCAGCAGCCAGAAGGCCCTGCACTGCACCTTCTCCCTGGAGCGGCACAGCCTGGCCTCCTCTGAGCTCACCTGTAAGATCTGCGTGCGGCAGGTGGAGGGGGAAGGCCAGATATTCCAGCTGCACACCACGCTGGCTGAGGTGAGGCCTGTGACACCGTGAGACTGAGGCCACAGAGTGCAGACCTTGTGATTCCCTCCATCTGGGCAGAAATGCTGTCCTCTTTATAGACATCACTCCAGTGCGGGGTGGGACTCGGTCAGTTTTGGTCAGCAGCCATCATTTCCAGAGTGGTGGACAAATGCGTGGCGTGCATTGGGTGATGTATGTTATTTCTGACCACCAAGGAGAAGCTGTCTTGATCCCACCTGCAGGATGACACAGGTGTTTGGGAGGACAGGTCTCTGCACAAGGTCATAAGAGTAGCAAGACTGGCTTTGAACCCAGGTCAGGGGTTCTAAGCCATGGCTCTCCACCCCTATAAATCCAAACTGATGTGTAAAAGCTCCAGGTTACCCAAGATAACGATGACAGATCTTTCTTTTGGTGCAATATAAAAAGCACTGACACCAGGCATGGTGGCACATGCCTGTAATCCAGCAGTCAGGAGGCTGAGGCAAGACGATCTCTGTGAAGTCAGGGCCAGCCTGGGCTACTTAGACCCTGAGCGCTGAGCATAGGTCTGGACCCAGCTACACTGCTCATTTGCCATGTGGTCTTGGGAAGTTCCCTCCCCTTTCTCAGCTACATTTTCCCCATGTGTGACAGTGGGTCTGTGTGAACTGTCTAAACTATGGCTAGGGCTCCTGGGGCCCTTGACCATGCTTAGGCTGCTTTGGAATTTGCCTGGGTAGTGCATTAGCGCATTGCAGCCCTCTTCCCTCGCCCAGGAAGCTGGAGTCTCCCAGAAGAGGCGGGCATAACTCAAGCCCAGGGCACCTGCAGGCCCAGTAGGGAGGCTGGAGGGGCTGACGCCTGTGCATGACTTTCTCACTCTGACCCCGCCCTTCCAGACGCCTGCCAGCTCCCTGGATGCCCTCTGCTCTGCCCCTGGCAGTGCTGTCACCACCCAGCTGGGCCCCTATGCCTTCAAGATCCCGGTGTCCATCCGCCAGAAGATATGCAACAGCCTCGATGCCCCCAACTCGCGGGGCAATGACTGGAGGCTGTTGGCGCAGAAGCTGTCCATGGACCGGTGAGTGTCCCGGCCCTCGGCCACCCTCCCCACTGCACACTCCAGGTCACGCAGACGTCCCCAGTCCAGGGCTTCCAGTTTGCACTGAGGAGCACCAGGCTCAGAGCACCGGCTGACAAGGGGGCAGGTTGTGACCACCACGCGCTCTCCCATGATATGGAGAAGTGCTTACTGCCCATCTCCTGGGGTGGGCAGAGAATCAGGTGCAGCCTGGACACCAGCTTGGTGTGGCCACTGTGCACCCAAGATGCTTGCGGAGTGGCTGTACCTTGGTGCAGCAGTATCTGCAGAACTACAAATGCTCAGCACGTAGGATGGTGGTGATGACACCGTACTTACTGAAAAAAACGTGCCATCAGCCTGCCTGGAGCAGATGCTATGAATAGGACATCTTCCTGGACATGAGGGGGACTTGCAGAGCTGGCTAGGGCTCTGTTCCTGCTGTCACGGGAGTTCATGCAGCAGAACTGGGAAGGAATAGAGGTGGGTGGAAGAGAACAGTGGTGGCTGCGCTTGGACAGTCCCTCCTGTTGTCTGCTGAGGTCTGGGTCTGGTCCTGCAGTGCTAGGAGGCGGCTCACTTCATTCTGATGTTAGGGATGTGGCCGAGGCTCAGGGTCACCCACCCACCCATGCCAGAGTTGCTGGCATTCGGACCCAGAACTGCAGGACTGCAGAGCCCACAGCCTTCCCTCCTGTGGGCTGGGGAGGCGCTGAGCGCTCCCCAATGCCCTCCTTCCCTCTGCCAGGTACCTGAATTACTTTGCCACCAAAGCGAGCCCCACAGGCGTGATCCTGGACCTCTGGGAAGCTCTGCAACAGGATGACGGAGACCTCAACAGCCTGGCGAGTGCCTTGGAGGAGATGGGCAAGAGTGAGATGCTGGTGGCCGTGGCCACCGACGGGGACTGCTGAGCGCCCAGAGCGCGGGCTGGTGGGACAGGCAGGTGGCAGAGTGGGGAGACCTGGGGCAGCCCCTAGTTGGGACATCCAGCCTCAGCTGCCCCCCAGCTTACAGCTGGAATTGTTCTCTCCACCTCCTCCTGCTCCCCACCAGAACCCCAGACCACGACCAGCCTTAGAAAATCCATGTGCTCTATTTGAGTCCCGGAGATCCTCATCCCCTGCCGTCTGTCCTAGGTAGCAGCCTATGTGACAGCAGCAGTTAAGGACTGAGGTGGCCCTCCCTCCATGCCTCCTGCCTTCGCCTTGCAACTTCTGGGTCCCCCTGGTTTCATTCTGTTCTCACTTTCTCTCACTCAGCTGTTGGTTTCTCCCTCCCTCACCTGGCCCCTAGCGCTCTCACACCCTTTCCCTCACGGAACAGTAGAGTACAATTCAGAAAACTGCTTTCTCCTGTCTAAAGTGAAAAGGAAAAGAGAGGCAAGAAAAAGCTTCAGACACTAGCGAGGCTCAGAGAAGAAGAAAAACACCAAAGCCACAAGGGAAAAGAAAAACCCAGTTTCTTAGGAAACGCAAATGATTTATTATCCAGATATTTGGATAAGTCCTTTTTAAGAAAAAAAAAAATGAAAATGAAAAAAAAAAAAAAAGAACTTTTTTCCTATGTGTGGGTGAGAGTCGGTGTGCTCAGGTTCTGGCCAGGAGTGCTTGTGTGTGTGCCTGCCTCCGCCAGGAGTATGTGCGTGCGCATGCACATGTGTGGTAGGGAAGAAAGACTGAAAAAGGCATGCTCTGGTGAATCCAGCTCAGACTGAATCGGATCAAAGCCTGTTTCCCAGCTATGCAGGGAGCTGATGAGACAGGGTTTGAGCCTTGGCACCAAGCAATCCTCTAAACTCAAACTGTATTCATAAAGTGCAGGACTCCTCAGACCAGGGGAGCCCTTCCCTATCCCAGCCACAGGCAGACATCCCAGGCTTCTCCATGCTCCTGGGAGTCCAGATGAAGAGGCCATGTTGCGAGATGTGTGGGCTCATGGGAGAGAAATTGGGGCGGAACTCGTTTTTCCAGCTCTGACCTGCACCCTCCTCCCTGTGGCCTGGGATATTGAGAAGTGGCCTTTTTGAATGGGCAAGGTAGCCAGAGTGGAGGAGGTGACACAGCCACTATGGATGTTCCGGGGTACCCGAGTGGAGAGGGTCAAGTCCCTATCCCATTTGAGCCAGTGACCATGGCCAGAACCAGCATCAAAGGCCTCAGCAAAGGCCCTTCCATGGCACTCAAGGCTGAGAGGTGCCGGATGCCCAGGCTCTGGCCTCTGAGCAGCCACTGGGACCACCTGGGTAGAGCCTGGTCTTTGAAAGTGTGTCCTGGGCTGGGGAGATAGCTCAGTAGAATAGCGCAAGGTCCTGAGTTCAATCTTCAGTACCACAAAAAAAGGAAAAAAAAGAAAGTGTGTCCTGTCCCAGGCAATGTTCCCAGCCTGTCTTCCTTGCCAGGAGCTTATAGGGTGGGAGCTGGCCAAGGGCAGGTGGCACCCTGCCTAAAGGTTGGTGGGAAGGCTTCCACAAGGGGAGCTGTTGATGGAGGTGGGCATGGAGCTCCAGCTGTGCCACGAAACCGCTGTGTGACCTCCCTCGCACCACTGCCCTCCCTGGGCACTCGCATCTGCGTCCTTTTCATGCCCAAGAGACCCATGGCTGCTGTCAGAGGCCTATTGGGTTCTGACATGGCTTTTTCTGATAGAAACCCTAGGGCTTTGATCCCTGGCACCACATGCTGCGCCAGCCACCAAAACTGGGTGTGGTGGCACATGCCTGTAATCCCAGCACTGGGGAGGTTGAAAACAAGAGGATCACTATGAGTCCAAACTGCATAATGAGACCCTGTACCAAATACATTTTTTAACAAAAGCAAAGGGAACCCTAGTGAGCAGAAGCTGAGGTAGCAGGCAACGCCATGTCCTCCTACTGGGCCCAGGACAGGAGCTCCTAGCAGCTGAGGTCCAACCAGCCATCTCCAAGGGCCCAGAGCCCTGGACATTGGCTGGAGCCTCCTGTTGGGGTCACATTGCCTAGCTTCATGGGAAATGCCTGAAAGCACTTGCCAACTCCACCAACCTCCTGGGGTGCTGCCAAAGGGACCAAGCAAGCAGGCACAGTTTCTATCTCTCACCTCATGTGTGTGTGTGCGTGTGTGTGTGTGCGTGTGTGTGTGTGTGTGTATGCACATGTGTGCTATATCCTTTGGCACATTGGGACCCCCCCAAGTGCACAACTGCCACGCCTGTGTGGCACGTGGCCCCCTCTGTGCCTGCTTTGCCCGCCCTTCGCCCACAGGGTCTGTTTATCTCCTATGTGCCTCTCTGCCTCCTCTTGGGCCCAGCGTTCTGCTTGGGACCCTCCTCATTTCCCGGATGGCCCAGGGCCCCTGTGCCCAGGCAACTGAGCCGGGTCCCCTCACAGGTCCTCCAAGAGGTGACCGGGAGCTTGGGTGCAGGGACTGCTCTGGGGAAAAAGGGCTGGACCCTACCTGGGCCGTGACATGGTTATATGTCCCAGGGGTGCAGTACTGCAGGGAAGGCCCCAATCCCACCTCTGCCCGTTCTGTAAACTACAACCTGTAAATAACGTTTAGCATTCCTATTGTAACAAAATTAATTTTTATGAAATAAATTATATTTCCTAGTCTAATAAAATCCAGGCTGTAGTTCGCCGTCTTCTTGGCTATCTGGTGTTGGAGACAGGGAGTGACTGTCTCTGAACTCCTCGGAGCAGGGGGCAGGGGGCCCCTGCACATATCAAACTCAGCAGCCTCATCTAACAGGAGAGAAAACCAGCCCAGAGAGGCAAATGGGCCTCCCCAGGGTCACAGCAGGTTTAGAGTCTGGGCCTGGTTGTCCCACTGGGGCTGAGGCTGAGGGGGTCAATTCAGAACCCTTCCCTGGGGCAGAAGAATATTGGTCAGGTAGAAAGAGAATGAGGGGGGCTGTTGAGATAGCTCAGTGGTCTAAAGCACTGCTTAGGCAGGCACAGGGGACCAAGGTTCATGCTGCGCCAGCCCCACTCTCAGGGCGGGCTGAGCCGACAAAATTAATTAAAAAGAACAATCATTTATTAAAAAGGGAATGAGGGACACACAGGTTGAGATTGTGTGACTTTGAACCCAGGACTGCCATGCATGGTTGGGCAGGCTGCTCATGAAACAATGCCCTGTCCACCCCACTCTGCTGAGAAGGAAGTGTGGTTCGCACAGAGGTACCATGTATCATAATGCGTGTTTACTCAGGAGTGTCCAGCAGATGGCAGTAATGGATCCTGCTCTAATCAAATCAGTCTGTTGTCATTTTCCCCAGCTGGTGAAAAAGGGCCTTTTTTTTAATTGGCAGGGGCCTCTTCTGCCCTGCACACCTCAGTCTCCAAGGGGAGGAAGTCTGGACCCATGTTTCCCAACGTGCTGTTAAGTAGATCCTGTGGCTCCCGAGCATGGGGTGTAAGCACCCTTTGGCCGGTCATGGAGAGTCACAGCACCTGTCGGGATGTTGAAGGCTCCAGCACTAATGTACGAGCAAACTGTTCTCTTACCACAGGGCCTGTGCACATGCCTGCCTGTGGGATTCTCCCCCTGTTGAGGTTCCAAGTAGGCAGTGTGTGTGTGTGTGTGCGCCCTGCAGGCTGGCTGCCTGGGACCTGGGGTCTGCCAGGACTCATGTGGGTATCCCCAACCAGCGTATGACCTGAGCGACAAGACAGGCAGGGTACAGTTCAGACTGCCCACCCTCTAGGCACCAGGACCTGCAGGCAGCCACCCAGTGAGGGCTCCCCAATGGATGAGTACAGGGGAAAGATTTATAGAGGAGAGGACTACTGTGTGTGTGTGTGTGTGTGTGTGTGTGTGTGTGTGTGTAGGGCAGGTGGGCACATGGCCCAGAGAGGGGTGACAGTGGATCTGGGACAGGTATCTTGCACATAGGCAGCACACTGGGGTCCCCAGGATGTCCTCATGCTGTACCTACCACTGACATAGGCCAGCTCCCTCCTGCCACCTGGCCCTTGGAAGCGTACCTTGAAACAGGTGGGGGTCCAAGGAGTTGTGTTCTGGAAAGTAGGCAACCTGGGTTGCAGCCCTGCTGCTGTAGGAGTCATTGTCTCTACCCAAGCCTCAGTTTCCCCATCTAGAGAGTGGGGTGGTACTTCCTGCCTGCTGTGGTTTGGAAATGGGGGACAGTGTGTAGGCAGGAGTATGACCCTGCTCTGTGTCACAGGCTCAGGCTTGACTAAGTTTGTTTGTTTGTTTGTTTTTTCCTTGTGCTTGCCAGGCAAGCGCTTATTCTACTGAGCCATCTCCCTGGTCCCTCAGGCTTGGCTAAGAACCAGAAGATACAGCAGGGCTGGGTGGATCCCGGACAAGGTACCTGAAGCAGGGGTTAAGGGGCCATAGCTGGCCCTTGTCCCCATCTGGCTGGCGGCAACCTTCAGCTACCATTGTGGCTCAGAAGGGAGCCTGGACAGAGGCCCTAAGAAGAGCAGAGGTCCCCAACTCCAGCCTGGCTCCAGGTCAGAGGGCAAAGTTCCCAAAACTTTTGCCCATTTTAATTAAAAATATAATGCATGGCTACTATTAAAAACATCCAACAGGGCTGAGGAGATGGCTCAGTAGAATAAGTGCTTGCCTGGCAAGCTCAAGAGCCTGAGTTCAATCCCCAGTTCCACCAAAAAATAAATAAATAAATAAAATCTGTGTACTTTGGAAAAGAAAACATCCAACAGAAGCAACAGAACCTGCATGAGGCCATTCTGCCCCCCACCCTGCAGGCCCCTCTGGAAAGTCTGTGCAGACACAAAAACGCTGGTGTTGAAAATATCGTGTCCCATGGATTTGCTCCAGGGATCTCAGCCTCCGAATGAACACACAGGCAGTGTCACTTTGCCAGCAACGGCAGAAATGCATGACACTGATATTCTTGCCCTGTGGGTCGCAGCCCCGACCGAGCCCTCCTGGCAGCCCTCAGTCTCCTGCCCCCTGCTCATGCTAATGTGTCCCAGCATCTTGGGCTCCACTGTGCCCTCCAGGCCCCCCGGGCAGCGCTGAGGCTGGGGCCATAACCTGGGCCTTCCCACCACCCCCTGCTCCTCCTACCCTCACTGAGCCTCCTTCTTCCTCTTCCTCTTCACCCCTGCTCCCCGCAGGCCCTCCTGGAACTGAGTCCCAGCACGGTTTCTCCCACTACACTGCCCTGCATGGAGCCCCAGGGACAAAGGAGCCGAAGTCAAGAGCCCCCAAGCACCCTGGAGAAGGGCAGGTTCCACACTTGGCTCTCTCCCTTGCTGTGCAACAGCAGAACCCAGGGCCTTTGTGCTGAGCTACAGCCCCAGCCCTTTCTTATTTTGAGACAGGTTCTTAGCAACTCACTGAGTCCCTGGGCTTGAATTCCTGATCCTCTTGCTTCAGCCTCCAGAGCACTGGATTACAGGCATGAGGGCCACACAGCACGCTCGGGGCCCACAGTGTAAAGGGCAGACAGACAGATGGGCCAGGGCAGTGGGAACTCAGGGAGGCCTCTGGAGACGGCATCTTCCCCAGCTGCACCACACGGAACATGCACTGTGAAGTTCACACTCACATTCTTTTATGAAGCTTCAAACTGAGAGAAGATGCTGACGTCCATTCAGCAGGAGACAGGCAGATTCAGGCCTGCTGTCTGCAGGGGAACAGCTGAGGGGTGCGGCCCAGGTAAAGGCGTGTGTATGAGCCAGTGTCCTGTCATTGATTCTAGCTCAGTGCCCACCACAGCTGCTTCCCTCCTGGCCCTCCATGGGATGGTGACCAAGCCTGGTCCTCCCTGCAGCCTCTCCTGCCTAACAGAGACAGAGTCCTTGGGTCACAGTTTCCCAGCTGCCCAGAGCAGAGGACCAGTGCCACACTGTGATGACCCAGCCACCCCAGGAGGGTCCCCTGGGCAGAGCCTGTAGCTGAAGACAGCCGGGCTCTTCAGGACCATTCCATGCACTTCTGGGTGGCAGAGGTGGCCTTGGCTGCCATCCAACCCATTCTCACCTAATGCCAGCATTCTCTCCATGGCTTAGACAAGGGCCTTTCTGACCTCTGCTTGAACGCTTTCAGAGACAGGAAACTCACTGCTTCCTAATAATAATGACAGCTGGGGGCCAGGGAAATAGTTCGGAGGTCTAAGTGCCTGCCTGGCAAGCGCAAGGACCTAGGTTTGATCCCCAGTACCTCATGCCGCATAGATTCCAGGCATGCCATGCCATCCACAGAAACTGGGAATGGTGGTACACGCCTGTAACCCCAGCTCTGGGGAGACAGGAAGAGCACTATGAGTCTGAGCTGTGTAGCAAGACCCTGTATCAAATAAATAAACCTTTCTAAAAAGAAACACAGCTGGATTTTGTTTGGTTGTACTGGGAAATGACCTTTACACTGAGTTACATACATCCCCAGTCCATTTACTTATCTATTTATTTGTGTTTTGTTTCATTTTTGAGTCAGAGTCTCGCTATGTAGTTCAAACTGGCCTTAAACTCATTATATATCTCTGGCTGGCCTCAGACTCACAGCCATCTTCCTGCCTCAGTCTCCCAAGTGCTGGGATTACAGGTGTGCCACCCTACATCCCACTTTTATTTTTTATTTTGAAAGAAAGTCTTACTAAATCATTAAATAGCCTGGCCTGGCTGGAACTAGAACTTCCTGCCCTTTAAGAGGCCGAGCCTAACTGGAGGAAGTCGGGTTCCTGGACT